TTCTAGAACGCGTTAAACTTGTTCCTGGTCAATCAATGGAAATGAATGCACTCTATCGTTTTTAGTCATTTTTCTTATGTGAAAATTTTAATCGTCATATGCACAATGAATTTAAACAATATGCTGTTGAAGATACTAAAACTGATCATTGGCATATAAATGAATTGTTTTTATGAAAAATAATAAGCAAAAAAATTGAATATTATTATTTATGTATAAATATGGTGTTGAATGTCTATTTCGATTTTATACATATGATATAGAAAAACATTTTCGTCAACATGTACTTGAAGATTTTCAACAAGAAACTCTTTGTAATCATGAAGCTGGTAATAAAATAGATTACACAAGAAAAAAAGAAGTGTCAATAACAAAAATAATTTTTCTATTTAGGTCAATTATATGGTTTAGAAAAATTCTGGACATTTTTAAAATATTCTCGAGAAAAAACCAAAAATCAATTCAAAACTTGAAGAAATTTTAAAAAACTATAGAAATCTTGAAGATTTTTGTGTTGATGGTGCATCATTTCCACAACAATTTTTTCCAACAAAATCAAATTATAGTAATTGAAAAAATTTTGTTTTTCTATGATATAAATAATTTCTTTATAGACTGTTCCAGCACCCGAAGCAATTGCTGCTGCAGTAGCAAAGAACAGTGATACATCAGATTCATTAAAACCCAATGGTGAACAATATCTGAACGGTGCTAAACTTTACACACGTTTTGTTTTTCTTTTGTTTTGTCTAAAAACACCGGTGCTCATATTTTTTCAAGTGGATTTCGATTTATTTAAAAGTATGCATGTATTTTTTTTTGCTTTCAAAGTTTATTGTTATTTAATCATTTTCTATGTATATATTACATTGGTTTGTTATTGTAGTAGATAGATAGATTAAACAGTGATGCATTTTCTTTTTCTATCAATAGAGATATGAAGAATTTTCATATAGTTTCGTTTTGTTTCTGGAACTATTTGCTAACAAAAACAAAATAACTAAACAAATTTAATTTGATTATGATTATGCATGTTTTTCTTTTAGAAGAAAAAAAAAGACAATGGTTTCATCTCGTTTATTTAATAATATTGGTAAGATATTGAGATAATATTTTATTTCGATAGAAGAATTTAGTGTTTTAAGAAGAATTGATATTGGTTTAGCTATTACTGGTGATGTGTTTAATTCTATGCTTTATAATGGTAAATATGAAAAGATTAAAAAACACTTGTTTTCTTTAAATGTAAATATATTTTAGTTGATGATAGCCATCGAGATGTTATTTTTGATCGTTTTCAAGGTGTTAAACTAGATGTTATTGAAGAAGAAACTCATTTTATGATTTCATGGCTTCATAGACCAATGATATTTGATATTCATGCACGGCCACGATCTGTTCCATCAATAACAGAAATAAAAGGTATAAAAACTAGAAGAAAACAGTCAACTTCAGGAGAGAGGTAAACATGAGGAAAATGTAAGCTCGCGAAAAAAACAAGGTAAATACGATGTCTATTGAAACATCAATGAATGTATATGGCTGAGATATCTTAAAAAAATTTGCGGCCATCGATGGTGACTCAACTGATCGGTTTACACCTCTACACTCGCATCATTCACCAATCTTAGGATACTTCATAAAACTTAAAACTGGAAGTCTCCGTTATTTTTTCTTCGTATAAATGAAATATGCATAAATTACATTTTATTATTTTTATTTTAGATTTACAGACAATTAATATAACATTACGTATTCTTTATCGGCCAAAAGCTGAACTTTTACCATAAATTTTTTGCAAATTTGGGTTTAGATTATGAAGAACGTGTTTTATCATCGATTATTAATGAAGTTTTAAAATCTGTTGTACTAAGTCTCAATTTGATGCTATTGAATTGATTACACAACGTACACTTATTTCTCAATGTGTTAGTGAATTATTAATAGAACGTGCTGCTCAATTTGGTTTATTACTTGATGATATTTCAATTGTAAGATACAACAAAAAAGAGTCTCGAGTTGATTATATATAGTTTTTTTCTTTAAACTAGACACATTTAAGTTTTAGACCTGAGTTTACAAGTGCTGTTGAATTAAAACAAGTTGCACAACAAGATGTCGAAAAACAACGATTTTTAGTCGAAAAAGTAAAACAATAAGAATAAAATTTGTATGAGTTTGTTTTTTTTTTGATAAAAAAAAAACAGACTGAACAAAGTCGTCAAGCAAATGTTATTGGAGCGGAAGGTGATGCTCGTGCAGCTGATTTGGTTGGCAAAGCTTTAGATGAAGCTGGTGATGGTAAATTTTCGAATATCTTTTATTATTTTGTCTTACTTTATTTTAATATTCATGTTAGATTTGATCGAACTTCGACGAATTGAAGCCGCTGATGGTATTGCAAATCAATTATCAAAATCAAGAAATAGCGTCTATTTACCACATGATCCTCAAATATTACTTAACATTACTGGTGCTATGCAATAAAAATATTGTTTTTTGTTTTCATAGTAAACTAACGAGATTGATTTAGAAAAATAAAAAGAACATATAAAATTTTTTTTTTGTATGCGTGTGTGTGTTTATAAACTATTGAGAATACTAAAGCATTATATTGTCCTGTTTTTTGTTCGATTAAAGAAAAAGAAGATCAGATCAACAATTCTCTAGATGTTATTAAAGATTCGAGTACGATTGAAATGATGAATTTCGATAATTTCTTGCGACGTTTTATATTAACTCAATCATTTGTACGTGGTTGGGGAAATCTATTTCATTTACAAGAAATTTTTACCTATCGACGTGAAAAAATTGCTGTAAGAGATGAGTGTTTAGAACTTGTACCAGCTGAAAATGTACAGGAAAATACAGTTGAAATAATTAAAAAAGAAACAAAAAGGTAATGAAAATTATATAAATGCTCGATTCCGTTCACCACTTGCCAATTATTTACCGCATTTGGTAAGTAATTAAAATCATTTTAATCATTTAATTAATATTATCTTTTTTCTTTTGTTGTATTTATTTAAATAGGTTCCATCTCAAGTAGCTACAGCTCATTTTTCAACTTGTTCTATCACGTGATCATCGTTTTGGTATTGATTCAATTCCAACAGAAATTTGTTATGCTGGAACAGATGATCATGGTTTTAGTCGACGAAGGTTATTTACTGCAGTCCCATTAATTAATTAATACCCTATAGGTTCAATTCTTCTTGAAAATC